AACCGCAGCGAGGAATGTTGTCTCCTTCAGCCCAGCCCGGCCCAGGGAGCCGGACCCACCACACCTAGTGCCAAATGAAAACCGAGCTGCCGCCCCGGCACCTGGGGGGGGGAGGGGAACAGCAGGTCCCAGGAGGCGGACCTGCTTGAACCGATGCACTTTGGATCATTGTGAAAACAGACAAACAAGAAACACAAACTCAACCACCTCCACGTCTTCAGGGATTTTCATGCTTTGTTGCCCAGTCTGGAACTGCTGTGTGTCTGGAATATTTTTCTCTCTTTCTTATCTATCAGAATTGGGCTGGGGGAGCCTCAGCGGTAACCACGTGCCCAGGCTTCTTGGAAATGCATTACCTGTGAAGATGCTTGCATATCTGACAATGGGGATGAGCTAGGAGCCTGTGCACTTGAAGATGGCTGCCGCCAGGGGGCACTGAAAACCGTAGGTTTTAGCATGCGAGGCAAATGTAGATGGCATCTTCCTCCTCAAATGGTAACTTGGAATTAAAGCCTGAGGGTGTGACAGACTTGGCCATGCGGGAGGGACCTGCATGAGACCTATGCTACGTGCCGCTTGGAGAAAGTAGGCAGGCTTTGCATTGAAGCGGACTCCTTCGGAGGCTCTAAGACCTCAGTTGCATATAAACAAAACCAGGAGAGAGCCCTCGTCCCCCTGCTCTGCAGTGTGTGTGTGTATCATAATCATGCTTTTTATGACCCAGTAGCATGGGCTTAAGCACACCTCCCAAGGTGCAACTAAGGCATGGTAAAACAATGTGCAGGTCAGTCTCTGGCTATTTGGCACATAGGAAAGTTTGGAGCCCGAGATCTTGGTTGTGCCGTGCCAATCAACCATAGAACTGAGAAGGAAAAGATCGTCCAAATAGCTTTCCCTGGACTCTGTAGACATACACTAGCGCTCCCTGCAGGTGCGCAGTACCACCTCGTCTCAAGGAAAATAAAAGGCTTTTCCTGATCTTACAGTTTTAACAGAGTGGTTGGATTGTTACAGAAACCCAGAGCCATTGTCGCAGGACGCGAATCGCCATGATGCTACCTACAGCCGTGGACTGGACAGATTTGCTGGGTCTGCTGTGGATCTAGCCCCTTCCCTGGGCCAGCCTCAGTGCCCCAGACTGCGCAGTGGGACCAGGGGCTTAGGACCTCCCCAGTGGGCCACTGTTGGCATCCGTGGAAATGCTCCATCCTGGACCAGGGCTAACATCCTTTTCAACCGTTTTTTGGTTGCGACAGCCACTCCTCTCCAAGCTCAGCCTGCCAATCCAGTGACTCGGCCCCGTGGGGATGCTCTGAGAGGCAGCCCACCAAGGTGCTGAGCGCCGTGGGTGTGGCCTGCTGAGCCGTCAGCCCATGCTGCAATTATTTTCGTAGACAATGACAAAAAGAAAAAAGTCCCACCTCCCTGCTCCTCTCAGCCAATCAGCACCTGGTCCACGTGCTGCCAGGCTGGAGCCGGGATGCTGCCTTGATGTCTCTCAATAGCGCCTGGCTCTCATGCCAACAGGGTGCTGCCTTTCTGCCTCAGAAGCCTTCATTTTTCTACACTCAGCCAAGCCTGATGCCTGCTCATAATGGGGATTTTCATGCTGGGTCCTTTTGGAAAGTACTTTTTTATAACGTTCCTTGGGGTGGGGGTGGGGGGAGAAGAGAGATTTTTCTGATAAGGGAGTTGGGGGAAGAGGGGGAGGGCAGCCGGGGGAAGAGGGGTGAAGGCACTGTTTATTTTGATGTTGTGGGTTTTTTTTAAAAAAAAATTTGACCACTGCTGAAGGATGTTCTAATTTAAAAGAGATGGAAAGCCCCTTAGGGGGCTACATCTTTAGATTCGTAGCAATGTTAAGTCTCATTAGCCGGGGCGCAAGATACGATGCGCTTGAACTGACTTGGTCGAGGTTTGCACAATGAGGAGTTAATTGAGACTTGACCATTGCTATGGTCTGGCTTGTCAAAGGATATGGTTCCAAAAAACACACCCCAAGGCTTCTGTGTTCGTCGCCTCTAGGAATCTTGGCCATTGCCGTCAGGCCTTTTTAGTGGCCTCTGTCATTGCCAATTCCTATCCTTTTCTTGGAATGTTTTAACATGGATGTGATTCTCATGAACCTGTGTAATGTCAGCCTGGCACTTTAGCAGCAGCCGCCCACAACGCTAAGCAGACAAGGGGCTCAGTTCCAGCCTCTTTAATACATGGATTAGCCAGAGAGAGTCTTGCTTCCAACTAGTGTCCCCGGTAAGCCCATTTAAGTGAAAGGAGAAACTGGTGTTTCCCTCGCTTCTCTATCCAAAACAATAGTATCTGACTAATTTCCACCTGCAAGTCTATGCTGTCTTTGACATCCAGCCCCACTTGGGACAACTTATTCTCATATCTAAAGCAAAGTGGAGACCTATATTGAAATAAGGGTGGTCCAGACAGGCAAGGGCCCACAATTCCCCTTGTGTGATGCTATCTGATGGGTATTCCAGCACTAAACACAGATCAAGCAATCTCTGGACTTCCTGTCTCCTCCCGTAGGTGACCGAGGCTTCTGAGCACAGGGAACTGGGTGCAGCCCTTGGTCCTTGCTGGTCTACCAAATCATCTAGAACAAAAGCTGCATGTGCTGATCAACTTTAGACACACGGAACAATCAGAACCAATTCAGAAATGGACTAGGAGAGGCAACAAGAGGAGCTTACCCTCTCAGACTTTGCATTGCTAACTCCAAGCGAGAGCAAGCAACGTCCTGGATCTCTAGACTCCAGTGAAGTATCTGCAGAAGTCGAGGAATACCTTGTGGTGCTGAATTATGGCTTGGAGGGAGGACCAACAGTTACTGTTACCATGTCTTCCATAACACCGCCCCCTCCCACAGGAAAAGCTGGATGCATCTCTTCCTGCCAGCATTTGCCAAATATTTTCTCTTTCAAGGTTACATGACAAGCAGCTAGCTAGCAGGTGCAGCCATTCCTATTACTGAAGCTGCATGCTAGGAAAAGCTTCACCTGCTACCTTTTTCGCTTGCCATGAGACCAGGAAAGACACAGGAGTTGTACTAGGGGGGAGATTTCAACCTGCTCCCCACCCCAATCCCTACAGTACCTCTAACCTAAGGTTTTAGTCTGCAACCCCCGTGCACAGAATAGTCTACCGTACCTTCCTATGCAAGCTCTTTCTCACGTGGAGAAAGCGCTAACTGAACAGATCTGAAAAGCAGTATTGAGGAAAGAATTATTCAGCACAAGCTCTCTCGAAGCAGCTGTTAACTTCTAGAACAAACTGTCTTCTGCCCCATTACTCTGTCCAAGACGGGGCAGAATTGGAGCGGCGAGGGCATGTCCCTCCATTTGTGACCAAGTGTTAATGAAACCTTTAAAAGCACCAGAGATTGAGGAGGCAGCAGCTCCTAGACGAAGCACCATGCAAGAACTCAGCTTCTGCTCCATTACTGCAATTTGCAAAATCTTTTTGAGTCTTAAACCTGCCGTCCGCAGAGAACCTGTTTCGCCCATCTATAGAATTTATGTGTTTGGCGTGTCTGCATTTTAATTTATTTTTTTTTACTGTTATCTTTTTGATGTGTATTCTTATATTTACTGGCAACTATCTGCCTGCTGCTGTGCCATCCTAGGGGAAGGGCTGGGACAAATTAGAGAGTCAAGGGGGTGAGAGGGGGTGGAGAGAATACCACCACCTAAGTCCTTCGAACCAGAAGTGTTAAGTTAAAAGGTATGTGAAGTCGGGAAACGTCTAGGGAAGTGCATGGAGAAGCAGCCTACTCCTGGTTAATCATCTTAAGCTGCATCCTATAGAAGGCACAGCCCGCCACATGGATCTTCCACCTGGGAGGTTAGGTAGATCGGCTGACCCTGTGGCACTCAGTCAGGGGGGGATGGGGAACCAGTGACTCTACAGATGCCACTGGCCTCTGCCTCATCCCTTACCATTGGCCATGCTGGCTGGGGCTGGTGGGAGCTGGAGCCCAGCAACATCCCTGTTCCTGCACTAAATGGACCATATAATAGGAGTCGAGAGTCTGAATGAACTGGCACCTGCAGTGAAGTTGCATTTGCTGCAGACTTTGGCTCTGCTCCTTTGCACAGCTCACCACATCCTTCACTTCACAGCCACCACCGTCCCCACCTGAGCACATGTCCTTGTGGACTCAGTGTGTCAGTATTAGCTCCAAAGCAGCCGACTTGTCAATCCACCACCTTCCTCTGCAATAGCCAATGGGGTCATTTTCAGCAGAGCTCAACCAGAGCCAGATACAGTTGCCTCCTTTTGCTGGTAGGGCACCAGTGCCTTGGATTGCTGCACGACAGACAGCAATTCAACAGACTTCTTTTCTGTTATTGTATCTTCAGGCTGGAAGAAGGGAATGCTACACCTGTTGGATTTCTGCCTGCCTGGTAGCTATTGAAGGTGCTGAAGCGTTACCAGGAAAGAATGGCAACTCTACTTTTCCCTAAGAAGCCTAGCTCTTCTCCCTTTTAGCAAGCCAGGGTGTAGGGGGGAGATCAGAGGGGGGAAATGTGGTGGTTTCACCTTTTGGAGGAACAAAATGTTTTAACGACTGCTGTGATGCTGGCTCTTCCCTGGAAACAAAATAGTTGAAGTGTACAGGTAGGGTTGTTAATGTAAATACTGTAGGGTTCATTCCCCTTACCTACTAAACAATAAAACCATAGTTCTGTGCAGGTGACTTCATTTCAGTTCCACACCCACACCTTGTGCTAGAGACCAATAAGCAAGATTTGGCAGAGCTGAAGCTCTTGAGTTTTCTGACTGCTTGGGTGGATGGGGAGGAGGCAGACCAATACTGGTCTAATCTTCCAGGAGGAAACGCTGCAACACACTTTAAATATTGGGAGGCCATTGCCAAGCTCTGATGCTAGCATGACCACTGGTAACTCACAAGAAATTCTTTAGCTCCTTGGCAACACAGCAGGTTCCTTAACTGAGCCAGTTTGTCCAGTAGGCTCCATCTGCAAAACCCACCAGTTCCAGGAAAGGCTGTATGGAGGTTCATCCATACACTCACACCCAGAGGAAGGAGGCAGCTGTTGTTACCTAGACAACAATAATATACATTCTCACCTCCCAGCACATTGCTTGACTAAGGCGGTAATAGATTTTCTGTTCCATTGTGTCTCAGATCCACACATTAGTCTGATAGCTATTCACATTACAGTATTCCATGTTCAGACTAGGTTTCCTCATTGATTTTATTTTTAAAAAGCTTATTTTGTTTTATTAGAAAAGTATATATTTTAACAAACATAAGCACAGTACAGACAGACATACCTAATCATATAGCAGAGGTTCTACAAGGCTGACCTGTAGTCCCTCCAGGTAATCGTTTTGACTCCCAATTCCCACCAGCCCTCTGCCAGTGATCATGGAGGTGTGGTTCTCTCTGTCAGCAAAGCCTTGGCCAAGTCTCCCAGGCTGCAGCTCCTCCTTCACCATGCAAGTTTGGGCCATACGTTAACAGCACCCAGGAATGTCGTTAAAAGGGAAAGAGCAGGCAATGCTCCGTGGTTTCACACTCATCCAGTCCCAGATCTGTTCACTGCAAGGCTGAAACATAACAAAAAACAAAAACATGAACCCAGACCCTGACAGTGATGGAGGAGATCTATGGTAGAAGCCCAGCAGGTATAAGCAGCCTCTGAAAAGAGCCTCACCTCGACTTGCCAGAGGTTGCCTTCTTGGGCAGTCGCAGCCTGCTGTTCTGGGAAGTGCCAGAAGGGACTGTCTGTTGAAATGCAGGCGCTTTAAGGGGGGAGAGAAATTCAAGAGATCAGCATGTAGGAGGTCAGAACAACTGTGATGCTTTGGAAAAGGCCCATGTCCCAATAGGAGAACTACTGCATGCAAAAGGTCCCAGGTTGAATCTCCAGCATCTACAGGTAGGACTGGGAAGGACCTCTGTCTGAAACTCATCCCCAGTGCAGGCGGTTCTGAGTTAAATGGGCCAATAGGCAGTTCCTAAAAGAAGTGGGACGCGGGTGGCACTGTGGGTTAAACCACAGAGCCTAGGACTTGCCGATCAGAAGGTCGGCGGTTCTATTCCCCGTGACGGGGTGAGCTCCCGTTGTTTGGTCCCTGCTCCTGCCAACCTACCAGTTCGAAAGCACATCCAAGTGCAAGTAGATAAATAGGTACCGCTCTGGCGGGAAAGTAAATGGCGTTTCCGTGCGCTGCTCTGGTTCGCCAGAAGCGGCTTAGTCATGCTGGCCACATGACCCAGAAGCTGTACGCCGGCTCCCTCGGCCAATAAAGCAAGATGAGCATCGCAACCCCAGAGTTGGCCACAACTGGACCTAATGGTCAGGGGTCCCTTTACCTTTACCTTTTGAAAGAAGTGTGCACTTGCCAGGACAATTTTAGTTCAGCCATTTCACTCTGTGTTTCCCGGCTTGGTTTGGGGGTTTGTTCATGGTTTCCAGGGATGGAAACGGCTTGGAACAAAGTTGGAAATTGCAGCTGAAGTTGTTTAGTTGAAACCTGAATGATCTGAAGGTGTGTACACACCCACACACCAAGTGATGGCACCTTGAGAGCCAGTCGTAAATAAATATGCAAATAATGGGAGGAAGGGAACACAGTCCAGAGGCAGAGCAGTGTACTGATGCAGGTCATGCTAATGGACCTATATCCGATTGAGCACCAGCATTTGCTCCACAGGAGTCCAGCCATATCAGTCACAGCTGAGGGACGCTTGGGTGTCCTGCCTTCCTAGAAGCACCTTTGCAAACAGGACCACTAGGAAAGGGCCACAGCAGAGCATCTACCTTGCATGCAGGTTGCCCCAGGTTCAATCCCTGTCACATCCAGGTAGCCTTGGGAAAGATGCCTGGAATCCTAGAGAGCTGCTTCCATTCACTCTAGGCTGTACTGAGCTAGAAGGACCAGCTTCCTTCAAAACCCTCTCAGTGTTTTCTTCCCTTTCCTCCCAGAAGATCCTTCCTGCCAGATCCCACTCCCAAACCCAGTGACTTAAGCTGCCTGGGTCATTCTGGAACTGCATGCTTACTGTTAGAGTTTAACACCGGCAGTCTGCTTGCCAGCCCAGACTTGGCCGTGTTCCTGGTTCGAATCTCACGACAACTGCTGTGAGGCTTGTAGCTGGCCTGCAATTGTGGGGCGCTGCCACCCATACTTGTCACCTGACCTGCAGAGAAAAAGAGAAAGCAGGCATAAACAGATATGTTGATAAGGAGCGACCAGCAGAGGTTGGGCACTTAGCAGTTGTGGGAGAAGAGACAGAAGCTGTCTTACAGCACACATAGACTTTCTGAACAAGCATGAAACAAAAGTCAGACAGTTTTCACAGCAGGGGCAAACAAGCTATGGGAGCCCTCTAAGAATCTGCACAGGGACCAAATCACACATTTCCAAATAAGTTAAATAGTATCTTCTGCTGCAGACACGAAGCCTTCAAGACCAGACGTTTAAGTACTAAGCACCTGGTAAATAATGGGTGTGCTAGGTTAAGAACTGAATTTTATAATTTTACCGCACGTTCCTATACATATATACTCAGAAGTCAGTCCTATTGGGCCTCATTCAAGTGACGAAGTTCCACTAGGAGAAGCTAAAACAACAGGGTTCCCCCCTGTGCCTCCCAAAATTGGCTGGCAGCTTTGGGGAAACCCCAGAACAGCACATGGTGGGGGCGGACCATTCTGCCCAGCAAGCTGAAAAGCTTGCACTGGCAGAATTATTGCCATAGCACTACTTTGAATCGAATTCCTCCCAATGGGTTCAATGGGACTTACTGCCAGGTAAGGGTGAATAGGATTGCAAGCTCAGTCTGCATCAGCAAGGCAACTCTTACGCCCAATTCTGTGCTCTGGTGTCTTCATACTGGGCACTGACCTTTCATGGGAGTGGGAGGGAGAAGAAGACTAAATCCAAATGATGCACCGTCTACCACAACTTACTTGCATTTGCCTTTGGGAGATGCGCCACCTTTTCTGGAGCAACAGAGGCCTTCTTCACAGGACCAGTCTTCAGCGGATCCAGCCTGGGGCCCAGCCTTGCTTTTGCATATGGTACTGGTTTTTTACCTTTGCTAGGTGGATCCTGAAGGCCAAGCTAATGCAGCAAGATTTTTAAAAGAAGAGCAAGCTATGTCAAAAGCAGCCACCACTATGGTTATTTCTCCCTAGTCAAGTGGGGAGAATGCAAAAAAGCAACTATCTCTTGGGAATGGCTGCTTAACATTAACAGCAGTTGCACTGGAGTACATCAGGCCTCGCTGCAATGGCTGCATGTGTGTGGACAAACTGAGTTGCACAAGTAACATGCAGGAGTTCCATTTCCAGAATGTACATTCACATTAACAAAGGTAAACAGTGCTAGGCACGCCTGTAGAGGTTAGTTTAGGGAACCTATATTCTGCATACTGTTAAAGAACATAAGAAACCTCCTAGATGAGGCCAATGGCCCACCTAGTCCAGCATCCTGCTCTCATCACAACCAACTTGTGGGAAGACACAAAGCAGGACCTGAGCACAACAGCGCCCTCCCTGCCTGCGATTCCCAACCACTGACATGCAGAGACCAGTGTTTGAAACTCCCATTGTTCCAGGCGCATTTTGCAACAAGGAATTTCATTAGCATGAGCAGTTTCTGAGCTCTGGGTGCAGTACTGAGCCTAAGATTTCAGATTAAAACTGCAAAGTAGAAGGAAAGGAGGACCTTTTTCTACCTCCCCACTTCCAGGTAGTCTCTGAAGACTGGAGAAGAGACCCTCTCAAGAATATTAGGGGGGTGGACAGGGGAAGGACTAGAGCATGTGAAAAATGAACTCTGGCTGCAGTTCATTCATTTTCAGCTTTGTATTCTTGTTATAAAAAAGCACGCCTAGACATTCCGCTGTTGCGCCCCTAACCTAGATATAAGGAGCCATTTTGCTCCTAGCTTTCATATCTCGGTTTCATTGGAGGTGGAATCCTAGCCATTGTGGTTAGCAGCCATTAACAGTCCCACCCCTCCACTAATTTGTTAAAGACATCCAAGCAGGTGGTGATCACTACCTCGTGTGGGAGTGAATAGTTCAACTATGCACAGTGTGAAGAAGTGCTCTGTCCTGAATATTTTTGCACTCAAAGATATGCCTAATTCTACCCTGCCTGCTGTGTGTGCCCCTCCTTGGTACCGCCCATCAGAAATACCTGGGATCCCTCCGAAGAAGAGGCCTTGCCAGATGATTTCTCTGTTTCCCTCCAAGGTCCCTGCCTGTTGGTTTGAAGGGGAGGCCTCAGACTTGGCAGGGGCTTCTTATTTTGCGTGGGAAGGGTGGGTGGAGTTGATCTTTCCTTCCTGCTGGACCTGGTAATTGTCTGCGACAAAAGACACAAGAAACAGGCTGGAGCTTTGGAAAAGAAGTGGGAACAAGCTATACACCTCTGAGAAGGACAACTTGGAACCCTGGAGCCTTCTGCGTGAAGGTGCCCTTTTACATTCCTCTGGGCCCAGGCTGTTTCTCAGCCCTGGGAAATTACTCAACAGAACGTGGGTTGGAGATCAGATTCAAGAGAAGATCCCTCATCAAATGCAAGTGTAAACAGCATGATTCATAGGGCATTTGCAGCTACAGAAACTGACTGTGTGTCTTATGAGAAACAAGTCCCATTTAGTTCAGTAGGATTATGCCAAGCTAAGTGGGCACAGAGTTGCAGACTGAGTCACAGCTAAGAGTAATTGGCACATGCAAGCTCAGGAAGAGAATCGGGATCAAAGCCAGGGATTCCCTGAGCACATACTTTGTGCTCCAAATGAAATTTGCATTGATCCCGCTCCTGCCACTGTACCTTTTTAATGTCCAGAGATTTTGTTGCTGCCAGTGACTTGAGTGGCTGATTGGGCCGGGATTTCTTGGGGAGCTGGGTGTTGGGGATGCAGGCATTTGATTTATTCTGGCGTCTTTTGGGAACAGGTGGGTCTGCAACACAGGAAGTAGGACTTCCCATGTCTGGAAGTGGAGCTTTGGGGGAACCTACAGAACAGCAGCTTTCAGGTCCCACGGTTGGCAGCAGGGCTTGCAGAGGGCTGTTGGTCACGTTGAATGTCCTTCGTCTGGGGGCCCTTGAGTCCTTCCTCACCGCATGCAAAGATTCAATGGAGGGCAAAGGTTCAAAATCTGGAACCATCTCAAGCCTCGTCTCAGAGCTGCCGTTCTCCTTCTCCAGCAGCTCACACCCCTCCATCAGTGCAGCCAGCCTGTTGGCTTCGCTCATCATCTCCTCTAGCTTTTCGGGACTCAGAGAGCTCCACAACAAGGCCTTGCCTTCACTCTCCCTCCCAAAAAAGTTTGTGTCAATTGACCTTTCACTGGATTCTGTGGGGCAAATGCCAGAGACCTCCTCCTCTTCCTCTTGTCTGAAGCAAGAAAGTCAAAAATCAACAGGGAACTGCATTGGGCAAAATATACAAGCACTGTGCAAAAAGGAATGCAATGAGAGAGGCTTCCCATCCCACAGAAGAATTCAAAGCATCGGTTTTGGGATAAAATCTGAATAAAGCTTGTGAACGCTAGTGCTTTTTCTTTCTTTTTATCCATTTTTATTAAATTTTCCACTTTAACAATCCAATCAAATCACATTAAATATTCCAGATTATACATATACATATCAAATAATCTGAATATTCTGTCAAATTACACATTTTTAATAGGACTTCCCATGCTTCAGTTCGGAGGGTTCTGATCATCTCATACTTCTGAACGCTAGTGCTTCAAATGACGTGTCTTTGATTTCTGATTAGAAATGTATTATTTTATTAACACAGCAATCTGCAGGGGGTTGGACTAGATGACCCTCGGGTCCCTTCCAACTCTACAATTCTATGATTCTATGGCATTGGAAGGTTTGGATGTGGCCAGGGTGTCCTTCTGCCTAGCCCCAGCCAGCTGGCCTCAGCCTCTGCTGCTGGGAGAAGCCCCATCCAAGTGGGGAAGAGAAGCTGCCACCAGCTGCACCCCCAAAGCCAGCACAAATCCCCAAAGCAGGGAGTTTCCGGAGAGGGCTGGGCTGGCACAGGGTCTGCTGGTACCTGTTGGCAATGGACCTGATCCAGCCTCTTTGCTGAGTCAGCTGGCACAGCAAGAAGGCATTCTCTCCCCTCCCTTGCACCCTGGCTGGCGTTAGCAGCAGGGCTGTGGAAGTGGCAATGACTGAGTCACTCCATCAAGCCCCACCGCTGTGGGCCAGGATCTTGGAGTGGCCCCTTATTGAGAAACAAAACTTATAGACTGCCCTTCACTTCGAAGTAATCACAGGGTGGTTTCCAACCAGGGTGGATAAAAATCAATGATTTTTTTTTTAAAATAAAAATCAGATTTTTAAAATATTTAAATCAGATTTTTTTTAAAAAATCAGATTTTAAAAATAAAATGCTTTTGGGCGAAAAATCTTTCTAAAGATAGTTTTCTATTTAAGTTACATTATAGTCCAAAGGCTATTCATCAGGAAATAAGGATTTGTTTTAAGTTTTTCATGTGTGCTAAAACTCAGTCTAAGTTTTTATATATATATAAAAAATGTTTAAACACATCAGTTAACAAACATCGATACATATCCTATAATGTTATTGCTTTAGTTAAATAAATTGTTTAAATTGTTATTAAGGAAATGATTATTTTTCTCCTTCCAATAAAGTACAGCAAAAAAGTTGTCCAAATATAAACAGTTAACTTATTAAACCTCACAATAATTTCATAATTATCTGTCTATGTATTTCTAATAGTATAACCAAATCAGTAATTTATGATATAACTGTAAAAACTACTCTGAAAATTTATTATTCCAAAAATGAAACCTTCCTCTTGTTGTAAATATTAAGATTATACCAGCGAGAATGAGTCTTTCTGTAAAAAAAAAGAAAAGATTTAAATCAAGTCTTAGTGACTAGTGATTTAAATCAAGTCTTACTGACTAGTCAGTAAGACTTGATTTAAATCACTATCCACTCTGTTTCCAACATAGTGGGAAAGATTCCACTATGAAAGATTCCACTATCCACTCTGTTTCCAACATAGTGGGAAAGATTCCACTATGAAAGACTATCCACTCTGTTTCCAGCATAGTGGGAAAGATTCAACGACATGCTATTCAAAGCTTCCCCGCATTCCTCCCCATGATCTGGGGGTTCTCCCAATCTGGAGGAGTGGATTTGGGGGAGTTGTGGGGCCGTGGGGAGAAAGGCCTCACTGTGCTGGTGGGAGCCATTGGGGTGGCTTCTGCAAGCACATTGGGTGGATCTGGCCCAGTAACTAAAATCATAATACCAATAAATTAACCCATACTAAAATACCCTTATATTACAGATCAAACAGCAGCATATCAAACAGACTAAGACTTTAGGTACCAGCTAGTACCAGAGTGACTTAAGTATCTCTAAAACCTTGCAGGAATAAGTATCTTTCAACCAGGCATTGCAAGCTTCTCCAGGGAGAAGAGTGTTCTAAAGCAGGAAAGTGACTACAGTGATACCATGGTTCCCTTGGCTCCTGAACAAATCAGCTCCCGAACGCCACAAACCCAGAAGTGTTGTTCTGGCTTGCGAACGTTTTTGGGAAGCCAAACATCTGTTTTGGCTATCAGGATTGTTTCCAGGGCCAATCAGAAGCAACACCTTGGTTTGCAAACGTTTTGGAAGTCGAATGGACTTCCAGAACGGATTGAGTTTGGGAACCAAGGTACCACTGCACAGCAAAAGGATGCTGCACATTACATTTGGACCTGCAGAAATTGTTTCCATCAGAACCTGCTTACAGCTGTGACACGTCATTCTGTTCCAGTGTCTCTCTACAAAAGGAAAGGGGCAGGTCTTTCTACGCAGGCGATTGATCCATTGATACATACTAGCAGTGCAGACACACTTTAAGCAAGCACTGCAGCCTTGCTACAGATTCTGACAGACCTGCTTAATGAAGCCTTACAGTAGCTATTTACAGATTTGGGGGTGGGACAGGAGAAGTCGCCTGTGTACTGCCACATACCCCAATTTATATCACCAGGGATTAGATTTGTCAATGAACCTTACCCGTCAAAAGAAGAAGACTGACTAAAATCCAGTCTCTCATCAATAATAAATTTTATATCTGGAGAAAAAGAATAAATCATTATTATTACAAGTACTCACTGAGCCCTGACTACCTACCTGCTCATATTACCAACTTTATGCAGGAATCACCACAATTACCACCTCCATACAAGCCGGAATCCTCCCAGAGAAAGGTAATTCCTGGCTTGCAGTAGAACTGAGATTTTCTCAGTTAAAATGCTTGGGTATTGAAGATGCCATTCCCAAAACTGTGTGGGGAATATTTTGCAGAACAGGAAATTAAAACACGTGTATATTCTTGATCCACTTCCCATGAATATGTACTGAGAATGGTAGAAAGTCACAATACCGATGCTAAGGGACGCTGAACTTGTACAACTAACAGCCTGGCCCTATGCAGAATTAGATGCACCCAAGTTAACTGAAATCACTGGATTAGGTGCACCTAGTTCTATAGAAGATCTGACAGCAAGATGTGCTCTAAATATCGCATGACATAAAAATAATAAAACTCCACTTCCTCAAAATATTTCAGTTTACATGCAGCCCCTGTGTGCATTATATATATATATATATATATATATATATATATATAGGGGTAGGGAGAAGATTGTTGATATAAAATTCAGAAATGAGTTGCTTTGGACCTAAGTAGTATACACTGAACTAGTCAGAAACCAAAATCAATGCATCCAGTTAGAAAGTTGTGAGTAGCAATTCACACACACACACACACACACACTAGGCCAAACCATGACTTAGCATGAATGAGCAAACATGAGCTGTTCCTTCAGTTCTGCTGCTCTGGGCTAAACCATACTTTGGCTTAGCATTACATTCAAACCTTGAACAAAAGTTATAGCTCATGCTTTGTCTGGAGTGATACAAACTATGAGCTTGGATTCATACCTAGTGTTAAGCCAAACCATAGCTTAGCCCTAAATTGGTGGCAGCAGCAGGACCAGGGAAGAGGTGAAGCAGCTGTGATCTTTGCTACAGGAACCCACACATTTGCTTGTTTGTAGTAAGTCATGGTTTGCCTTAATGTTACATATGAATCATGTCATAGAGTGCAATGGATATTCCAGTGCTCACCTTCGTTTGGCCACTCCATGTTTTTCAGGAACCATCCTACATGAAAATAGCATGAATTTGGGTTTGGCTTGATAAGTTTTGGGTTTGATTTGGTTTGTGAAATTTATGCTGCGAATTGGTTACCAGAAAGTATTGACAAACAGTGAAAGAAAGACAAATACAACATTTTGCTGTAGTTCATTACTAGAAACCTAATTTGGTACATTTTTTTAGTAGAAGCTGCAGATTTGTATTTTTCTCTCTCCATTTTCTCACCTGCTGTTCCTCTCCCTCCACTCCCCCTACTTCCCATATCCTGTTTCCATTTGTAACCTACTTAGAAACAGCTTTCTGAATTGTAGCTAGGCTAGCCTGCTTAGCAGCAATAACGGTCCTTATGGGATATAAGGTAGCTGTACCTCCGATACGCCTCTCTCCTCCGTCTCGAATCACCAGTGGCTTTTCTGGTTTTAAAGGGAGAGCAATCACCGGGCGTTCACTCCAACATTAAGTATGCAAAAGCACCTCCCATTGCCGCTGCAAATAAAGCCTTTTCCGGTCCTCTCTCCCCGTGGGTTTGCTTTTTTGTGAGAAGTCTTAAAAAGATGAATTCCAAAGCATGCTCACTGTATGGTGGCTTTGAAGCTAGTCCTAATTAAAGGTATCCTGGATCCTTCCCGCCCCAACTGAATAAAATGCAGATAGCAGTGTTGACATGAGGCCGGACGGGGCAACCAGCAATATCCGCTCATTTTTCCTTCTCCATTAATTCTGCAATGCAGCCCCATTGCCCGTGAGTCTAAGGTAGACGCCAGCATCCAGACTAACCAGACTTGTTTTAGAAGTGCATTCCTCACTTATCTGCCCTAAGTTTGGTAGCGAGGGATGTTTGGGGCTTCTCCCGCTCATTGCCATAATGTTTATAAACACTGGCAAATGCTTCTGTGTCGGGACCGATGTCTCTGATCTTCTCTCTTGCCTTAGTCAAACCACTGACGGGAGTTTGCTTTCTCCAAGGCACGCTTCATGGAAAGGTGCGAGGCGCTGCTGGCATTGCGCCGATGACTAAAGATGTTTTTCTTTGCTCAGAGGATTTAGGAGCCTCTGCTATTTGAATACCCGGTTTTACTGCTTCGTGAATGTTAGCATGACATTTGGGTTGCTTTATTCTGTCGTGCACAGCATTCCTATCGTTTTAAGTAAAGGAGTCGAACGTTTTCTCTAAATAAGCCCCTCTGCGTTCAGTGAGGACTTCAGCTCCCAGATAAACGTGCACCGGATAGCAGCCCTAACTCCTGAGTAAAGTAAACATGCTTTTAGGACTGGGCTGTTAGGGGGGAAAGAAAAACGACGCAGCTGCTGATGGGCGTGTTAGTTTTGCCCGAAAGCGGTTACAGGCAAGAATTCCGAATTGCGAGTCCTCCCCCCCCCCTCCACGCTCCGGCCCCAGGGAAATCCAGAACCCATTCACGTGCGGGCCCAGCCGCCATGCGACATGCAACCCCTTCCCGCCGGCGCGGGCATTTCCTCCCGCTCGCTCTCACCGCGAAGCTCCGGCGCTTTGGCAAGCGTACAGAAGAGGAGAAGCATAAACAAATTCGAATTTCCCCTCCCGCTTCGACGTCACAAAGACCCGCTTCGTTCCTGCGCGGTGATTGGCCCAAGGCTTGCGGGAACTCGTCCGCCGCGCCTCGGCCTTCGTTTCCCCGAGAGCGAGGGGACGGCATACGCAGCTGCACCGGAAGTGTGCTCTGCCAGCTTGGTTCCCCCGGCGGGAAGGTGTGTCCGGCGTGGGGGAAGCATGGCTGCGGTGCCCCCCGATACGTGGCAGCCGCCCACTGTTTCTTTGGAGACTACGTGAGTGAGGGAAGGGCCCGGCCCAGTGGTAAAGTAACGTCGCCCGGTAGGGCTGGGGAAGAGTCTGGGACCCCGGAAGGCCAGTTAGCACAGATGACGCTGAGTCGGAGGGACCAATGGTCTGACCCGGCACGAGGCAAGGCTGGTGTTTACATCAGCTGTCAAAAAGCTCATTTGCCTTCAGTTGATTTTTTTCCCCGGCCCGCCACTGAGAACTGATTTCCACATTGGCTAATTATATACTAGCTACCAAATTATGTTTAATTTCTGCTTTCTCTCTCTCCAGAAACCTGTGTGTGTTTCAACAAAGGGAAAATCAATTACAAATATGTATTTAAAAAGGGATGGCGGCAAAGCTGGGTGAACAGCCAGTTCTTGTGCTTGGAGAGATACAGAAACATATTGTTATGCTTCTTATTCCCCGCATATGTACAAATCTCATCATCTCTGATCACTGGCCAGGCAGCCATGGGGCCGATAGGAGTTGGAATCCAGTGTCTGGAGACTTATAGGCTCCCTATTCCTCCTTTTTATGCTCCTCTGCCTTTAGTATCTTTATGATGGGCAGAAGCTCAACATATGCAGATTTGCCTATTATGAAGATGCAGTAATATAATATGTTGTGAAACACACAAGGATGGAGGTGAGATGGGATAGGTAGGATGTCAGTTCACACAGAGGAGGAGGAACAGGACTACATGGATTGTTTCTGCCAGAGGGCCCTACTGTCCCTATCAAAAGTGCAGTTCCTGTGTCATCTAGGGTGTGGCTGGTGGATACCAATAGTGGCAGCTGACCTGTATTTTTTTCCCCTGAATAGGGTGATCTTAGTGCCCTCCTTGATATCATTTCAGTACTATGCAAAGACCTCCCACTTTCACAGTTTTTAAAAAATCTAAGCTGTTTATCTTCATCAGGTTTTAAAGCTGCTATTCTTAATGTTTTGCATCTTGATTTGAAAACAAACCTGATAAAATTGATAGATTGTAATATGAAGTGGTTTTTCACCTCGATGTCACGGAATCAATGTGATGTAACAAATGTGTTTGGAATCCTCCTCTGCCTGTGTTTTGCAGAATGGGCGTCATTGTTGTGGAGCTATACTGGAAACATGCACCAAAAACTTGTAAAAATTTTGCTGAACTGGCCAGACGAGGTTACTACAATGGCACAAAGTTTCATCGGATAATCAAGGACTTCATGATTCAAGGGGGTGATCCAACAGGAACTGGTAAGAATATATTCAAAGTACCTGCTTCAGATACTGTGTTAATCAGTGCTGATGCAAACTAATGTGAATAGTAAAGGTGATGTTAGGATAGTAGATCTTGCAATCATCATCATCATCATCCCCCCAAATCCTGCATAGTGCTCTTGTTATGTTCTGCAAGAATGGGAGAACACATTTATCACACTTGGTGAGGCCAAATGACCCCCTGCTGTAAGATTACATAAAGATTTCTGACTTAACCGATGGCTACTCTCCCTTTACTCAGAAGCATTATGATGATATCCACTGATAGTCAGCACTTCCTCTCTTACCAGTAAAATAAAAGGAGATCTTGGTGGTCTGGTACTGCACATTCACAAGGAACTTTCAGTATACCTTTGTCCCAACTGTGACTTTGCAAATTGATTTACCTAGTCTTGTTCTGTGACAGGAAGAGGAGGAGCATCCATTTATGGCAAGCAATTCGAAGATGAACTCCATCCAGAACTAAAGTTTACAGGTAGGTAATCTTTTGAGAGGTGCTTCGAGTTCTTCAGGCCAAGTCTGTCACCACCTGAATATGGCAGTTTCCAAGCTTACAGATGTAAAGTTGCTTTCTGTGCAAGAGCTTCAGGGTCATGGTGGTTGGCAGAATGAATCATAGAATCATAGAGTTGGAAGAGACCACAAGGGCCATCGAGTCCAACCCCCTATTCTCTAGCCCCCTTCCTACACTCCCATAATCTGCTCTGGAAGATTGGGGGAGTGCAGGAGACTTGAGTGGGGAGGAGAGGAATAGAGAGTGCTCTTGTGCAAGCAGAAATCTACTTGCAGTGTTAGATATTGCCCTCTGGAGCCATAAGCCTGGCTTGAATCTTAAGTCAGTAAAACTTGGCATCTAAATTTGTTAACTGCTTATGCTATATAATCATGTATCATTAGGTTTCCACTTTGCATATGAAAAATCATTTTTCAAAAAAAATCATTTAGTTATTGGTTAGTTTGCAGGAGCAGGAAGGAGATTAAACTGTCCTCATCACAGAGTATAGCTTACATTCTTTTCCCATATTGTTGTTGTAAGAAATGGGCTTCTATGTTCAAGTTTATACACCTTACACACACACCACATACATTTCCTAGCAGCCTTAGTTTAGAAGTGAAAACTTCATCCAAATGGATTTTCCAAAGAAAGTGAATAGGTGGACAGTGGTGTGTATGTTGGGGCAGGGGAGACAGGAACCATCTGAGCCAGCTGGGATGCATGAACAGTCTTGCATTCACTATAGAGAAGTTCCATTGATCTCATAGAGTAGAGGTGGCTAACCTATGGCACTCCAGATGTTGTTGGATCATCTTCCATTAGTCCTAGCCAGCATGGCCAGTGCTCAGGCATGCTAGAAGTTGCAGTACAGCAATACCTGGAGGTTTGGAGGTAAGGCACCTCTGTCACAAAGTCCTGATCACTTCTAAGGACTGGTGTAGCATTTAAAAAACCAAGGTTTTCCCTTTTACTTTGTCTGTATTTAGGTACCTTTAGACTCCCAAGCCAATTTTAACATAAGATTTTCTTCTCTAGGTGCAGGAATTCTTGCTATGGCAAATGCAGGCCCTGACACCAACGGAAGCCAATTCTTTATCACGTTAGCACCAACTCAATGGCTTGATGGGAAGCACACTATATTTGGACGTATTTGCCAAGGAATTGGCATAGTCAACAGAGTGGGCATGGTGGAAACCAATGCACAAGATCGTCCAGTAGATGATGTCAAGCTCTTGAAGGTTTTCCCATCAGGCTAAACAAGATTTGAGAATTTTGTGTTGAATCTAATGGTGTTCCATTGTGTTTGGTCTCTTAAGATGATAATTGTTTTGTTCTGAAAGATACTTGCTAGTTTTTTAGGTGCAGGATACTCCTGTATTAAAATGTGTCTTCTAAAATTACCGTTAACATTTCTTTAAAAATGTGAAGCTAAATTTATCAAGAAATGATTTGACAGGGCCTGTACCACCAAATTACAGTGCTGTTGCTTTCTAAGCTTTATTCTGTCTTTCTCCACCCCCCCCCCACGTCCACTTGGAGTGCAGCAAGCCATCTGTATTGTAAACAAACCACCTTAAATGCACCAGAAATAAGACAATATCTAGTATTTTGTAAGTCATCAGAATTGCATATTGGGTCATGGGTGTCTGTGTGGGTCTCAAGGCAGCGCTGCCATATACTTCCAAGTATACCTTTTACAAGTTGCATAATTGAAAATCTGTACCTAAACAAATAACCCCCCTCATCCGCATGACTATTAAAGTATAAGCACTCTAATCTTGAAAAGCCACCTTTTCCTGTTATAGTGTTTGAACTTCATTAACTACAAATCCCAAAATTTGGGATCCCCTCCAAACCGGTGCCAAAGTTTTGCAGTCATGTTGCATCACAAACCCCGTTTGTGGAAGCGCCTCCCAAACTGAGTAATTGATACATCACACTGGGGTTCCTTGCAAAACAACTGCACCAGTTTGGAGGGAACCCAACACTTCAGGGTTAGTGTTTGTTCTCAAGATAATACTGAGGGCAGAATCCAGCACTGCTTGTGTGGACTTTCACGGGTGTAGATGGACTTCAGCTTTTCTTCCTGCCATGCAACCCCAAAATCTGCTCTTTCCAGAGCCAAATTTGAGGGTGTAGGGAACTGCAGGGGGAGAAGAGTAAGGTGGAGTCCTGCTGTATGAGTAGAAGTCTCTTCCATTTGTGCACGGACAACATTAGATACAACCTAACCAAATCTTTCAATTTATTCTGGCAAAAGGTAGCTCCAAGTAGTGCATTTTCTAGCATAGATTTGCGGCAGTGAAGTTCCGACTTCAAATCATACTTGGCACCGTCAGTTTCCACAGGCACAAAATTGTTTTTCCAAAGTTATAACAGCTATGTAGAGGGCAATGCTAACTGATTCTAAAGTATTGCTCTATATAATGATGATACTTTAGGAAACCTTACTCTCCTTTCTCAGCACCTAGCAATTGTATGCAGCTCCCTGAATATGCTCTCAATTCCTCAAGAGCTCCACGGTTGGTGTCTTCTCTCATTTCTGCAGAAAACTTTTATTTAGAAGCTTCACATAGGGAATCTTTCGCATGGGCCTGTTGATTCAGGAATTCTGTTCAGCATGGAAGAATCCCAGCTTGGGGGTGAGATTGATGGATGTGGCTCTCCCATATCCAGTCAGTTGCCAGGAGAGAAAACAGATACATTCCCTTTACATTCCGAATGAAGGCGATTTTTTTCCCCTTCAGGCTAGGAAGATCAAAGTAATCCATGGAGCTCAGTTCCTCCCTGGAGCTGGATTAGCCCATGTCAGCACACAGTTTCTGTGGCACCCTGTTGCCTTCAAAGGCAGAAGGTTCTGGGTTACATCTGCCTGTGTTTCTTTAATGAGAGCTTGGGAGTATGATTTAGCATTTTATGATCTGCACACAAATTAACTCTGTTCAAGGGCAGCAACGTGAACTTAGGGTAGGACAAAAGGATGCAAACAGCCCCGCCAATATAACTTCCATGATTCCAGCTGCTCTGGCATTATGAGTAGGGCGCATTCCTTTGGCTGCTAGCAGCCCTTTTTCTGGAGCCCATGGCTTCCTACTTAATTGGCACTGTCAGAGCTGCTTTTGAACATAACCTTGTTTTCAGGCATTGGGTTTCTTTGGCCCAGTTCTAGGTGGCTAGATGCAGTTGTATGCCCTTGATCTTGGCATGTGAGCAATTTTCACACAGTAGACAACATCAATCAACTTCAAGAGCCAGAGTCGCTATGTGATTGGAATAGTAGTGTAATGAGGCATATAGCTTACTTAGTTTTCTGAGAATGGGGCATAACAGAACACTTAACCCATGGCTGTTGCGGCTGCTCAGGGCACAAAGAGTCGGCTAGTGAGGGGGTGGGATTTTGTCTATGAAAGCCCCATAATATATGCAAGAATGCCATGCCAAACACTATCACGTGTTAGGCAACTGAGTTGCTGTTGTTCTGTTACATGGCCCCTCCCAAAATAATTTCATTTTTTTTTTTTTTTAGAATTGATATTTATTAAATTTTCAAAAAGTAACAAGTAACAACAAAAATTTCCAAAAAAGTTTGAAAATACAAATAAAACCAAAAATAATACAAAAATAATAAAGAAGAAAAAACCCAGCCGCAAAAAAGAAAAAAAGAAAAACAGAAAAACAGAAATATAAAATCCTTTACGATCTCCATTAACTTCCTTTCTAGACTTCCTCCTCCTTCCCTCTCTTGTTTCTTAGTATTTAATTTTTACAGCAAATCCTTTCTGTTATCATAACAATCTATCATTGCGTTTCCTTATTCTATTTTCCCTCTTGTCATATAAAAACTTTAAAACTCAAAGCTTATATTCAATATTTAGCAAATTCTTACATCATTACCTTTTTCAAATCATTTACCAATCCTTACTTAAGTCATATAATTTCATTCAACATCCTTCAAACATTTATAAACATTCCCAATATTAAAAATAAGAAAGCAAAAACAATAAGTCAGATTCAATCCAGTCAACTTCCAGCCTCCCCCCCCTGGACCTGGGATTGTCAGTCCTTTTAACCTCAATAATCCAGCTCCTTAACCTGGTTGTCTCGTATCCGAGGCCCTCAAGTCTCTTTCTTGCCCCTTTCGCCACTCTTGTTGATATTTCCCTTTCAGTCGTGGATACTCCAGCAAGAAGGTGCTTTTGACTCTTTGCAGCAAGTCCATCCCAAACCCATTACCCAAGCCAGACAGCAGATAATACCACTTCCAATTTCCACAAAACTTGGAGACTTCGACTACTCCATTCCTCTGATGGCCCATCACTAGACTCGGAAAGTCCAAATAACCATATAGAGGGTGTCAATCCATCCCCCCATTTCCAAATCTGACCACATTTCATCTTTCCGAATCAGGTTTGTCCCAAGTTCATTTATCAAGTTCAAAGACTGATCTTGCCCATCCATAGGTCCCTCCATCTCTGAAGCCTCCGTCGCTACAGCAGGTTCATATACTTGTATAGACTTTAACTGAATTTCATTTGTTTGCTGCTGTGCTCTGGTAACTTCCGTCCTCATCAAGGTCGACTCCTGACGCATCTGGTCCAGCTGGGCACTTAATTTTGCAAAACCTTCCAGGAACACTTGTTCAAGCCTTTGTACAAGCATTGTCCTTCAAGGTCAGAAAAAATTCTTTCCCACGAGAATGATCCTTCTCTTTTAAACTCTCTGCATTGCAATTTCACTCAGTTCCACTAGATGGAAAACCCTTTTTTTTATTATTATTTTTTAAGAGGGGGAAAGACAACAGTAACAATCTTTCTTTTTCCAGAAACACTTTATCCAAAATTCCCCCTTTCAAATTCAAGAGGCAACAGTAGAATCAAAATGTTACCCTTCTTTTAACTATCTGTCGAGCTGGATAAGCTTCAAAACGTCAGTTCTGACAGCCCGCTCCTGGTTCAGGGCGGTGGAAAATTACTTTATTTTAAACTCACTTCCGCAGGGTTGAAAAGATCAAAACAACCCCTTCTTCTCCTGCAATCAAAGGGGGTTCAGAAATCTTAGATGTTGAATTTTAGTTCTCTCAGAATTTAGTTTTCAGGCTTTAGTATAATTTGTCTTTGCTTTCTTCACGTAACAAAAGAACGGAAGGCGACTTCCTGTTTAGACCTTTCCGTTCCGAGTCCCAATTAAATTCAATTTCAAGTTTAAGTCCAATGTTATTTATTTATTCACCAATCTTAAAAGTAGTTCAGCTCTTCCAGGATCGGGTACTCACGGATAGATGTTTTAGATGCCAAATTGTCCAGGAAAAAGGCAGCGCTCTCCGAAAACGGCAGTGCCTCCCAAAATAATTTCAGCAGATCACATAACCATTATATACCCATGTTCAAAACACAGAAGGCTGTAAATGGTCATTCTTTTCCTAGTAATCAGATTCCCAGGAATCAGATTCACATCGCTGGCAATCATTTATGGTTTGAAAAATACCATAAAATTGTTTCTCAAAAAGGGCAAGATTTCATGCCTTATGGAAGAGTCCAGTGGTTATGTTTCATCGTTGATCTGGGAAGCAGACTTTCATGAGCAATATTAATGAACTGATTTATACTGCCTTCAGTGCATCTCTTGATCTAAACAAGGTATGCCTTGTTTAAATGTTTTGTGTCCTACACAATAAATTTGATCCCTGCCAGTTCTTTAGGGGCTGCTTCTGGCAACTCAAGTGTTATTTGAATGCATTTTTATAACCAAATAAAATATTTTGTAAGTATTTATACATCCATCTCAGTTCTGTTTTTTTATTATCATTATTTTAAAGTGCAATTGTTAATCTATATTTGAGTGGGGATTTGAACCCTGGTCTCCCAGGTCCTAGCCCAACTCTCTAACCACTACACCACACAGGCTCTCTGTAGCACCCCCTTTCCCAGAGGTTTCATGCTCCCCAGCTCCCCATGTACCTTGGTTACATTTTCTAGAATTCTACTTCCTCTCCTCTCTCTACATGTATATAATAAATGCTAATTATTAGTAATTGGTGGGACATTATGTATAATCTCTGCAGCTTTCTTCTCAATCATCTCCGGTATTCTTCTGAAGATTATGAGAATCTTCTTACGGCTTCTGCCTGAGAAGGCTAAACATTTCACGATGCTGGTTGAACTTTTCCCACCCGGCAGCAACATGAGCTTGGTGGCTCATGAACTTCACTGTCAGATTAAGCAGACCAGTTGGCACAATTTCAGGCAAGCCAGCTTGGGTGCCCTGCGCTCAGTTTCCAAGTCAGTATCGGAGTTAGGCTGTATTAAGTTTGCTTGCTGCTGCTAGGTGCTGTTAACTTCCCTGAGGCCCTGGGATTGATATCCTTCGATAGAGAAAATAATTGGGTTTCATGGTAGTGCCTGTGGTGGCAAGCAGCAGGGGTCAGGGGGAACACTCTGGGCAAGGATCCCCTACCCCACATCAGGTTCCCAGAGAAAGAGGGGACCTTCCACCCCACTAAGCACTTTCAACCGTTACTCAGCTACAATCTCTGCTTCGAAACACACATACGTTTGTTCACCTACCTTACATCACTTAGGTTGGGATGGGAGAAGTCACCATCAGTGCTCTTCCAGCCTACCTATGAGATAATCTCTGTAGGGGAAACCTGTTGCTGAAGAATGTTGCCTGTTGAGCAGATGGGTCAATTGGTTTGTATGATTCTTCCTCCTTGCTTATTGGCACATCCTCAAGGGTATTGCATTCTCAAGGGCTTTTGGTTTGCTTTCATGTCTTGATTTGCTGTTTGTGCTTCAGGGATGAATGCTAGCAGGCTGTGGGAGGATCTGCTTTTGGGCTGGCTGAAAGCTGAGTGCTTGCCAGCAGTAGGACAGCAAGATTAATTAACTATACTAGCCCCGTCTGTTAGCTTAAGGTCACCTGACAGGTGATGTACCATCCCTCACACTACCACAACAATTGCTTCTAGAACAGGTGTGAGACATTTGGATACCAGGCCAGTCAGGACTAAGGTACATAAATCTCTCTGATGGATCTGACTTTTGAGCTTCAACAGCAACCCAGACCAGGAGGGTGCTGTGTACTGGGCAGCCAGAGTCTGCTCTCATTCCCTGGAGCTCCTGATAACTGAAGGGGCGAGTATTTTATCTTGTTTATACTATGTTATTCTGCCTAAAGACAGCTTTTCATTCTGCGTTCAAGCCTGATACTTATAAAAGTACTGAACTTCTCTCCACTAGGGTTATTAATGCAACAGAATCCAAAAGAACTATTGCATTTTGCAAAAAAAATCTCTAGCTATTTCCCAACCATTAGCTTCCATTAATGAAATGTATACCAGTCTGGGCTATTAACAATCTTGCTTTAGAAGGGGCGGGCTGCCCAATAACTGCAATAGTATTTTGTGCTTATTTTAACAGTATGTTGTGTTTAGTTCCCGTCGTTCTGCATTGGTGATATGTAGAAGAAACTCCCCACCATACCTATCCTGGTGTTGCGACATCTTTAGCCGGCCCCTAGGCGGCAGTGTTATTCCACAGCTATTCTTCCAAATGGACTGGCAAGATAATGCTGGATATTTTACTAGTGGCCGTCATGTGGAGCTAGAACTATGCAAGCAGGTGCTCAGGAAGGAGGAAATGCAAGCAGATTCACTGAATTGTTCAGGGCTGAAGCGGTTAAAGGCTTAAATTGGACTGCCTTGGCATTTCAAAATGTATATAGGCAGGGCCGACCCAAGACATGGTGGCACTTGAGGTGAACCACAAAATGGCACACGCCCTCCCCACCAGGGAAGGAGGAATGGGTGAAGATCTGCATCAGGCATAAGATCTGCATTGGCATCTGATGCCCCTGTGGAATCTGCTGCCCAAGCCGGTCGCCTCACCTTGCCTCCTGAGTGAGCTGGCCCTGGGTATAGGCAGAACCTCTCCAGAATTTAATTTACAGTACTTTTAAAAAAACTGATGTGAGGTGTATCAGCACTGCCTGGTAATCAAAGGCTTTTCACATTATGTCTTCACATTATGCACCTGAAAATCTCCAATTACTCCCCCCCCCCAAAAAAAATTTAATCTCAGATTTAAAGGTTGAAATCTTCATAATTCATTACACAGAAGTGCAGCATCTCTTTCAGGTCATTCCTGGGTTTCACATATGCATCAGTGGACTGATTCAAAATGCTCTAATTTCCCAGATCATACACCTACACCCATGACTAGGGACGACGGAGAAATTCCATTTTGTTTGCATTTTAATGAGAAACTATCTAATTCACGCTTCTTGAAACAGTATGCCAACCGAAACTCAATTATCCTTAGGAATGTGCACTTCTCCGAATTTTGTGATGCAGTTTTCCAACCAACCAGGGATCGTTCCATCAGGGAAAGGGTCTTGGCTTGTCAGATGAAGCCAACCCTCCCCTCTTTCCCCCACATTCTGTTCTGGAGGTTCCCATGGGCCTCCATTGCAGAAGAGAAAATCCTTCTGAAGCGCTTCCGCTGACAGGACTCATTAGTTGGATCATACGCAATGTGTGTGGAAATAATATATGAGGGGAAATGTGTGTACAAAAATGCACGTTAGTGAAAATATTAAAATCTGCATCATATTAGGAAGAAAAGCTTGCAAATATTGGGAGAAATTTGCACTAAAATGATATTCTTGTCTTAAAAAAAGCTTCACAAAATGTAGAAAAACAAATGTGGAAAAATGAGAAATGGAAAGAAACCAAAATTGGCAGACTGAATTTGATGACAGTATATTATTTTATTATATTTAATTATCACATTTATATCCCACTTTTTTCTCCAAGGAGCTTGGGGTGGTATAAAACGTTCTCCCTCTCCTTATTTAATCCCTATAGCACTGCTGTGAGGTAGGTTAGACTGACTGCTCCAAAGTCACCCAGTGACTTCATAGCCGAGAGGATTTGAACCCTCATCTACCAAGTCCTGCTCCTGCCACTATATCACATTGGCTTGGTTCTTTGGGATGAATTGTGAAGTCAGGGTGGGGGGGGGGGGAGAGCTTAATAGAGAGAACAAGAGGGAAAATAAAGCTTTCTGAAAATCGTGTTTCATTTTTCTCAAGTTACCCCTTCACTCTCCCAGATGTTTTATTACATTCTTCAGTGTGACGAGCTGGGAGGAAACGTTATTTTTTAACACGGTTTGTTTTCTCCTTCCCTAAGAAAAGCTTTTGAGGGGCTGCACTGATCTTTTCAGATAATCAATCTGCAATCGGTTTTAAAAGAAAAAAGCAATCTTAAAGTTTACCTGAAAGCAGCTTGGTTAGTGTATGGATGGAGCTGGCTGCCTAGTAACTGTGGGGTTACTGTGGCTTTGTTTTCCTGGTGCATAAGGCATACTGTAACTTAAGAAAACTCAAGGGAGCTGCCTCTTTTGACTACTTGAGTTTTCCAGGATTGACTGATCACAAAACGGGCAACTTCTCCACCCTTATTCGCTGTGGGATGAAATAAGGTTCACCTCATTTTGCCACCTGAAGCAAAACAGGAAGGTGTCCCCCACCCCACCCCCCGTGAAGGAAAGGAAATAAACATCTATCTGACTTTTAGTCATCTGTACAGGGAGTTTTTAATGTTTGAGGTTTTATTGTGTTTTTCATATTTTGTTGGGAACCACCCAGAGTGGCTGGGGCAACCCGGTCAGGTGGGCAGCAATAATAAAATTGTTGTTGTTGAGATCTCACTGGAACCCAGAACCCGCTACTCCTTCTACTAGTTTCTCTGATAGGGCTGGGTGGGGGCACAAGGGGCACCTGTGGGGGCACCACCCTATGGATTCCACCGCCCCAGGAGGCTGTCTCAGTCTACCTTATAGGTAGGCTGTCCCTGCTTTGCTTCAGTAGGTTTGGTGGGAGACAGTTTAAGATTCTTCAGGGACTCTGGGAAATGTAGCACTGATCTAAGCAACAGGAGGGGATATATAATGCCAGCTCCTGGACTGATATAGCCATAGGCCTGTTTGGAAGCTGTGGGGTGGGTGATGCTCATCAAAGAAAGAACATAAGATTTAGGGGATCGCAACTGGTTCATTCGCACTGGGCGTGGGAGGGGGGACTATTATTTACAATGGAGCATGAGAGGCGGAGGGTTGCTGAATTTTGGCGTCGCATTGGGGCACCACTGAAATTTGAGACCCCAAGATCCTTCTCTGAGGAGAGAGAAGGCTTAGGATCTTGTGCATGCGTTACCATTCCTGGAATATCAACTGTTTTTGTTTGTTTTTGGCCCACTGCTGGCAGAGCCCCTCTGCACCAGGAAAGCCTCCAGGGACAGATCTTTTGCTCCACTGGCAGAGAGAGAGGTCTTCCGTATCAAATGCCCCTTCAGCTTCTCCCTTACTGATATCTTCAGATGGTCCATGTTGTTCTTAAGGCAATTGATTGAGGAACCTTTAAAGATCAATTTGATTGTTGGACCTTTTTTTTAAGGATTAGATTTTAGTGTATTTTCTTAACACACTGCTGCATTCCATGCAAACAGGACTTAATTGCTGTTTTTACTTCGACTGAGAGCAAATAATATATATGCACACCATCTGAAAATAGTTTTGCTTAGACATTTCCTGCCTTATTTTCCAAATCAGTTGCTTGCTGAATGCATTTGTCGTGTCATCCCTTGCACCATATAATAGAAACTCGTTTCGGAAACGATTGTGTATCCCCTCACAATAAATCCCAGTGCTAAAATCACCTTATCCTGGTCTTATCAAGCTGACTCAAATTAAATGCAAAAGAATTCCAGAAGCC